TATACATAAATAAAATAACATATTATTTTACAATGTAATATGCTTGTAGTATGATACGATGGCCATACATTGTCGAGGAGAAAAGTTGCTATCTAACCTGAAGTTGAGCGTTTTTGAGCCATTGTTAATTTATCCAAGCAGATTACTACTTGAGACATTTCTATCCTCAGTACTGGGTGGAATCAGAACTGGGAAGAAATAGCCTGGAACGACAAAGACTACAGTCTTTGGTTTTATAGAAATATAATAATACATATTTTGTATTGCAGATGTAATAAAACAAATCTAGAAAGTTTAAATTGACTTTGAACGCCTTTGTTTTTCAAAAATATTTTTATCACGACAGTTGTTTATTCTTTCCGTATTGTTCATCTCTTGTACTTATCGTACTAATTACCTTTTCTGTACCTATTCACAAGGTGTCAAGGAGGTTGCAATACAATTACACTGGGCAACTCAATCTGACTTTTTTTCCTTGCGAGTTGAGAGTTGATTTATAGTCATTGAAGTCGCTGAAGCCAAACACGGCATCAGTTTTTGATCTATCACCTTTAGTTGTTTTGTTTTTTTTCTATATGGCATAATCACTGTTTTTTTTTTTGCGTTAAACAACTTTTTAAAAGCCCAACTGGTTCAGAGCAAAATAGAAAGTGTGAAGCGTCAAAGCTTTGTTCCATTCGTAAAAATCATGTCTATTCTCAGTCTCACAATAGCAATGGTTACAACATTAAGAAATAGTGCATGTATTTAAGTTGGAGGCTACAAACTCCTTACAAAAACTTTTTTGCGGGTTTTATCAGGCGTTTGGACAGTCTCCTGGAATGCTACAACAGTAATCTGCCATTATGCTGCCTTTGACCACGACATGTTTCCCCCATAATCGTAGTCTTTATGAAATCTCCCACTTTGCTAATCACTGAAATCACCAACGTTTTGAAGAAAAATAACTAAATGGTGAATTTTGAAAAATGAACCATGTCACTCGTGTTGCAGCCCAAAAGATGGACGTTTTCTAACAAAGTTCTGACTAAATTCTTGGAATTTTCTGCGTTTTTGTTTTCCAAAAAGATTTTCCCAAAGGTGCAAAAGATTCCCAAACTACTGTGATCATATTTATAATTTGAGGGTACCGAAAATATCAGGCCTTGTTTTATTATTTACTTTTGAAACGGCCTTCATCAAAGTCCAGGGCTTTCACGAATTGTTTCATCAGCCCTAATTTGATTTGAAAGGGAGGAAATATGATTTTTTTCCCTTCAACACAAGGGGTTCATTGGAGATATTCTTCTCTCAAATTGTTAGAGCTGTCTTCACTAGTTAAGGGGGGGGGGGGACTACACCCCCAAAAATCAAAATTCGGCTCAAAATCATGGAATTTGAGTTGTAGGCATTTTTAGCTTCCTCAGCCTCTCCTGCAACTATTTCATGGCATAAGAACCACCCAAAACCGTATTTTTTCCCATACCGGGCATGTTTGTAACCGTCATTTCCTCATAAAGTCAGTATTTTATTTTTCTTTATCGGCCGTTTTCTCAAAATGCGACTTTTCTCGATACTTTTTAAAATAACTCCACCATTTTTCATCCAATGGTCATGAAATTTTCACAGAATGAAGAGAAGAGGTAATACTAAAAATTCGTCTGTTGAATTTTTGATATACGGAATAGATTTTTGTTGGTGGTGTCTGGAGTGTGGATTTTCACAGATTTTTCGCAAACTTGAATGCTACCTCAAGAAAAAATTCATTAAATTTTTTTAAAATTCGATTAGGAAAAAAACAACAGACAAATTTTGAGATCTAATGTTTGTAAACACGCATGCAAGAAAACAATCAATTTCCATTAGCGATAAGTGCGGTATTCATTACGTAAGACATGTCAATAAAATCAAATATGGCGGCGTATCCATGGAAACGAAATTATTTTCTCAAATTTGATTACGAATTTTAAGACTCCTAACTATGCTTGTTATATATGTGGAATTTGGTAAAATTCGGTCCAGTAATAAGCGAGATAACCTCCAGGTGTAGCCTCCCCCCCACCCCCCTTAAATCTTTTGTTTCACTCTTTACGGGGTTATACTCTACATATCCCACAGACAAATAGATCACGGACACTTTGTATAGTGACCCTGTTGATTAAGTAAGAAGTTGACCTTTTTAAGATTATCATACTTCTTTTAGTTGTGGTCCCTACAGTCAAGTCAATCCAGCCCTAATTTTATGTGCAGGAACGGACAAAAATGAAGATCCATTATGTCGTAGTACCCACTTCAGACTTGTCTTTGAAGTGTCTAAGAAAAGTTTCCACTCTTTCGATTCGTAGTCAGAGACACCAATTGCACGTAACAAATCTGATATATCGTGACAGATGACAAATCCCTTGATTGTTGCAAAGTACTGTAATAGTTCTCCTTTCCCCAATATGATAAAACTAACGTTATGTAATTTAATTTTGAACAATTCTTTTTTCTTTTGGTCCTGGAACCATACGTTCTGATATGTGCA